GACAGTGACAGCGGCAGTGAGGTGCAGTGAGGTCTGGGGGGTGGCAGCCTGGAGAACCCGCCCTGCCCGCCATGCCGGGCAGGGCGGGCAGCGGGCAGGGGGGGGGGGGGCGGGCGAGCGGGGCCGAGGGCCGAGGGGCCAGGCCAGCCCCGCACCGCCCCTCCTCGCCGCCGTGCCCTCTGCCCTCTGCCTGCCCCGTCCGCAGCCCTGCATGCCGTGTGCGTGGCCTGTCCAGCCGCGCCGACCTCCTCGCCCGCCCCTTTTCCACCCCTCCTCGTCGCCCCTCTTCGACTCTTCGCCTCTGAGACCCTCGACCCTCTCCTCTTCGTTTTCCTGCCAGCGTCCCCTGGCGGTCGGGCACCCTGGCCATTGCCGCGATTGCGGCGGGCGGACGACTGCGCGATGGACCCGGATACGGAAACAGCCACAGGCAGCGGGCTGATGACAATTAGGGAGACGGTCATGTGTACTGTATATATATATATATATATATATATATATATATATGCTACGTAGTGTACATATAATTTAGATGGGGATATGCATGTAAACACATATACGAATGTACACAGGCAGACAGACAATAAGATTTGGTAAACAGATCGACCCACCGACCTAAAGCCTAAAAGGGCCAGGCCGCTGGGCCCAGACAGAAAGACATATCCACCCACCCTCCTGCCTACCTACCTAGATATACGCATATGCCCTCCCCATAGTCCCGTGGTTTTCTGGCGAAGTGACAGCGAGTGGAACCGTCGCCGTTGTGCGTTGCAAGCAGGTTGGCAGCCAGCCTGTTTGCTACGCGCAACCAAATACCAAAAGGCAGAGCTTGGCCGAATCGAAGCCGATCCACCCGACAGCCAGCAGTTGGTTAGCGGGTGGATTGGCTTTGTTTGATTGTTTTTTTTTGAATTGCGCGCGGCGGCAGGCGGCACTCTCAGAGGGTTCGTGAGGGCGGTCCACGCGCACATGCCAGCGGTCTTCATCGGCGAGTGCGTGAGGGGCATCACGACACCTGACCCAGACTCTAAGATCAGCAACTTTGACGTGCTCGTCAGGTTGGTCAACAAGGATCGGCCCGGCTCTGGAAAGCGCCCGTTCGGAAATCCATAGGGCGAGACCCCCAGCGACCTCTTTCAGGGGGAGGGCGGGGTCTCGCCTCGTCGGTTTCTGAACCGCCTTTGCAGGACGGATACCACGTGGTCCACGAGATGATGTCTGCGCTCGACTTCGGGTGCCCTGCTCGACGCGAACGCGTGTACATCGTGGGGGTGAAGGTCTCCAAGGACAGCGTCGACCAGACCCAGGACGACTACCAGGACCCGCTGTGGGTGGCTCACTTCCGCACCGCCATCCGCGAGATGTCCGGCATCGAAGGAGCGCGAGAGCGCGAGAGGGCCGGGCTTTCCCCCGCCGCTCCCCCCCTCCGCTTGCGTGTCCTTCCTGTTGGCTCTCTCTCTCTCTCTCTCTCTCTCTCTCTCTCTCTCTCTCTCTCTGCTCTCTCTCACTCTCTCTCTCTCTCTCTCGGCGTTGAGAGCTTGTTACGTCACCCCTCGCTCTATGGAGCCTTTGGTGTTCAGAGATTGTTGCGTTGCCGCCCGTTCCTGAGCCTTGGCTGGGCCCTTGGTGCCAGGAACTTGCGACGTCGCCGCTCCCTGCTGGGAGCCTTGGTCTTGTCGGCTCGTTTGCGTCACCGTTCGCTCTTGGGAGCTTTGGTGCGAAGAGCTTCTTGCGTTGCCGATCGCTCTTTAGTTGGCTTCTCTGGGCTTTCTTGGGGGTCCTATTGGCGCCCTTCTTGGGCCCTCTACGAAAGCTTCTTGGAGGCTACTTCGGCCGTCTCGGGTGCCTCTTGGACCGTCTTGGAGCCTTCTTCGGGCGTCTTGGGGCCCCCGCGGGCCGTCTTGGATCCAACTTGCACGTTTTGGAGCGCTCTGGAGCCGTCTTGAGTCTCGAGGCCGCGAGAGATAGAGCAGCTCGCGACCCCCGAAACCAGAGGTCGGAGGAACAGGCCGCGCTTCCAAAGAGCCCAAAATCATGAAGCTACGTTTGTTCAAGTGTGGTGCCTATCGATATGGTTGCCTGTTTTTCCCATTGGAGAACATGCATTTTTTTCAGAAAACCGACGCGACAAAAATATGCATTGTCTTCTTTTGGGTTCTGAAGATTTTCGTTAAATATAATATGGGTTTCCAACCAGTCGTTGCCATGCCACCGCCATTGGCGGCACACTTGAACAACAGATTGCGCTTATCGTGGAGGCATCTAACATCTGAAGAACTCACTCACTCACTCAGGCGCCATTTTCGAGGGCTGCTGGGGGGTCCAGCGGAGCGGGGCCTTACGCATATTCAGATTAGACCTCCCGCCCCAAATCCTCCTCGAGCTGGTGGCTCCTCGTTCTTGCACGGTTCCCCTGCGCATCGTGCCGCGTGCGCGTGTCCCACGTAGCTTATATGACATACAACGATGCCTGCACTTCGATTGTCCTTGCAAGTTTGGACCCACTCTCCGTTTCCCTCGATACAAATGGGCCGGGTACGTCACAGGGTAATTTCGAAACGGTTTGGAGAAAGAAAAAACGCAGGAGGGGGGCCCCCCACCGCTGGCCCTAGGGCCCTAGGGGGCTTCAAGGCCTACAGGCCTTCCGCCCCCCGCCGTTGGCGCGCAGTCGAGCAGCAATTGCTTATTGCGGAACTGTGCACATCAAGTCCCGAGGCAGAGTATGTTGCCAGGGCGTTACTGGCTTGTTGTTATTTTTGATTTTGCGTGAGGTTTTTGGCGCGGAGTGAAGTGTGAAGTGTTTGGGATGTTATGTTGGTGTTGGGGCGAGGGCGTTCGGGCTGGGGTCTTGGCTAGGGGTTGTCCAGGAGCTGGCGCGAGGGTCAGGGTGTTGGAGTTCGGGGGTTGGTGTGTGTGTGTGTGTGTGTTCGGGTGTGTGTGTGTGTGCGTTAGGGTCAGGGGGCTCAGGTTCGGGTGTTCGAGGAGAGGTTATGAAGCTAGGGATAGGGTGTTATGGCGAGGGTGTTCGGGGTCGGGTTGTTAGGGTTAGGGTGTTAGTGATGGGGCCTGGTACAGTTAGGGCGTGAGGGTTCAGGTTGAGGGTGTGAGGGTTAGGTTTGAGGTGCCAGATTGAGGGCAATATGGTTAGGTTGTTGAGGGTGCGGCTGGGGCATTCGGGTTTGGGTTTGGGCGTTCGGTTTAGAGTCTCAGAGTTTAGGGAGTTATTGTTATGGAGCTGGAATTCGCGTGTTAGGAACTGTTATGGGTTAGGGTTCGGGTGCGCTTGTTCGGGTTGGGGTGTCCGGGTATGGGTGTTCGCGTTGGTTTTCGGGTTTTCGGTTTGGTGTGAAGGCCAATGTGTTCGGGGTAATAAGGTCAGGGCGGTCGGTTAAGGGGTCAACGGTAGGAGTTGGGTGTTGCGCCCAGGGGTACGGCGTAGGGGGTTTTGGTCAGGGCATTTGGGAGCGTTAAGATTCGGGTGTCGCTTCGGATTGGCGTGCCAAGGTCAGGATAGGGCGTTGAAGCTGGGCTGTGGTGTTAGGGTTTGGGGGTTGGGGATAGCCTGTAAGGGTTGGGGCTCGCGTGTTGAAGGTCCGGGGCAGTGCGTTAGGGTCGGGTTAGGGGTTCGGGTTTTGGCTCGGGCGGGCGGGCGGAAGGTCTGGATCAGGCGAGGGGGGGTCCGAAGCAGGGGGGGGGGCGCTGATTTGCGTGGCCCTGCGTGCTCCCCTAGTGCCAGACCGCCTCCCTCTCCCGTTTGGTCAACATTGAAGTCTTGGCTTTCCTGGGGCCGAGTGCATTCGCCCCCCCCCTCCCTCCCCCCCCTCTCTTTGCCGCGCCCCCTGTCGCTCTCGTCGTCGCCCTTCCGCCCCAGGAGTGCCGCTGGCTGCTTTCCTGTTGCAGCCGGACAGCGAGCCCGTCATGAATGCCAACAGTGCGAAGGTGGCGAGGCAGCCAAAAACAGCTAAAAAACCCAAGGCGAAGCCAGCGAAGCCGAGGAGGGAGGCTTGCGGGAGCCAGTCCGGGAGCAGCGACGATGACGGGGGGAAGGGGATTCCAGCGTACCACGTCCAACATTTGCAAGCTTTCCGCGACGCGGATATCGATTGGCCCCCTGTTTATACCGACGAGTTCGAGCTTAAGACATCGATGTTGACCAAGCGGGAGAGGGAAGTGGTTTGGCATTGGGAGAAGACGCAGGGCCCCGCAGACCAACTACAGGACATCTACGCCAGAGATGTAAATTTATCCAGCGATTGGGGCACAGTGACTTGCCGGATCTTGCCCGCCTTGGTCTCTAGCAGCACGATCTGGTTGCGGGGCAAGGTCGGCAATGAGGTAGTGGAGCGCGTCATGTCAGAGTGGCTGCTCGCCGATTGCTGGGCGCCCGCAGGGTCGATGGGCCGACGATGAGGGCCTCATCATCCTCATCGTCGGCCCGCTCTACTCCATTCGCCGTCGCCTCATCATGGGGCGACGGCGAGTAGAGTAGAGGGAGGGGGGGGGAATCGCCTGGTTCGACCGGAGCCGTTTAAAAGGTGGGGGGCCGAGATGGAGAGAGGGCGTCTTCAAGAAGGGGGGGCATCAGTGACTGATGGCCTTATGACTGTGACTGATGATGACTGATGACTCATGGTGAGGACTGAAGACTGAGGATGTTTGATGATGGCTGAGGACTGCTGGTTGAGGACTCACGAAAGATGATGACAGAAGACTGATGACTGATAATGAGTCATCAGTCCGGCGATTCCTTGGCGCGGCATAAAGGATGTAGGCTGCGTGGCCGACGAAGGAATCGTTCGCCCGTCGGCCTCGCAGCCTGCATCCTTCAATGCCTCGCAAGTGCTTGATTGGCTGTAGGCGGACAGGCGCATCGTTCAGGACCTGGGGCCCAGCCTCTGGGCGGTGGGTCAGGCTCTGAGGCATTGGCAGTGCAAGGTTTCCCACACGCACTTCAAAACAAAGTTGATTTCGCCAAGTTCAGCCATGTGGAGCGCAAGGACATGGCGGGCAACGCGTTCTGCGCCTTCGTGGTCGTGCCGCTGTTTTTTTCGTTGTTCTCCACCGCCCCCGTGGCCCACGCGATCCGCCTCTCCCGCGACCCCACGAGCGCTGGCGACCCCGTCGATGTCCAGGAGTCGCCGAAGAAGATGGCGGCCAAGGACACCACATTTCTTCGCTCCCCCCTCAACCCCAGCCCTAGGTCCTAGGCCCTGGGCCCTCAACGGTTGGCCTGGGTTGCTAGGCGTCGCGGCAGCCTCGGGAGTCGCAGCGCCGATTGCAGTAGTGCCGACAGTTTTGTACCGTCTTGTTTTTCGCACTTGATTGAGGGTCCCTGGGGCCCATCGGTGACGGGGCGCGTCGATCTCGGCGCCCACGACGGGCCTTCTGCCCGCCGCATCGGCCTCCGCCTCGGCCCCTACCCTCAGCGGCTCAGCGGGCCGAGGGCAGGACGACGTCAAGGTGGAGGGCGACGCCGACGGCGAGGAGATGGAGGATGGCGAGGAGGAGGAGGATTCAGACGCGCATGACTCCGTCGTCGAGTGCGTGAGCGACGACCCCTTGCTCGGCAACGCTGGCGACGTCACTGGCGGCCACTGCGTGGAGTGGTCGGAGAACGACTTCCGCTAGCCGAGCTGGCGTCGGTGGGGCCGCGCTTGCATAGGTTGGCGGATGATGAGCGCCAGGCGCCAGCTTGGCGAGATGGAGTCGGCCCGGGGCCGAGTCGCGAGCCCGGGCCATTGTGGCGCGAGAAAAACGTGTCCGTGAGTTGCTTGTTGGTTTCAGTTTCAGGTGATTTGGCCCGGCTGGGCCCCCCCCCCCCCCTCGCCTCTTTCCGTGCGGCCCGCGTCGCCCCCCCATCTTGATGCCCCATCCGCCTGCGCAGAACTCGATGTCCTCGCGTCGGCTCGGGGCCGGCGGGAGATCGAGCTGGAGGCCCTGGGACGTGCGCGACACGTCATTGTCACTGGCCCCGATGCGCACTGGAGATCAGATCAGGCTGAGAGAGAAAGAGAGAGAGAGAGAGAGAGAGAGAGATAGCGAGAGTGAGAGAGGAGAGAGAGAGAGAGAGAGGGGAAACAAAAAAAGAGCGAGGGAGAGATATTGATATCGTACATGAGAGCTGAGAGAGTCTCTCACGGCACGCTCTCTCTCTCTCTCTCTCTCTCTCTCTCTCTCTCTCTCTCTCTCTCTATTTCTCTCCCTCGTTCCTAACAGTCCTAACATGCAATGTATGCCTCGTGTGTCTCAGAAGATGTCTGTCCTCTTCGTATTTCACAATGCCATCTCTATTTGGTTAATAGCGATGGCAACAATATCTTATGCTAGAGTGTAGTTTATCATATATCAGAGTAGATGCCAGCACTGGCTGGATGGCTGATACTTTGTCTGTTCTCTATATGATTTGACGTGTAATCGATGTTCGGGATGTGAGCGTTCTCTCTTGTGCGACCGGCTTGGTCATTCACTCGCTTTGCGCGCGCCGCCGTGCCGTCCGGGGCTCGCCCCCAGGGCCCGCCCGGGGCCCGCGGAAACAAGAGGGCCAAACACGGCCAACAACGCGATCATGTTTTTGAGGTTGGTATGGTTCTGGGCGTCTTGGGTCCTAGGCAGTCCCACGTACGTTGGGCATTCTGGGGGCCCGTTTGGCCCCGTCTCGGGGCCGTCTCGCGGCCTCGCGCGCAGTGGCATGCGCTCTTGGAACGATTCGAACGCGCTCGTAGCCCATTGGGCGGAGGACGATGCACGTTCACAGTTTAACTTAACGTTCCATTCAAAGTCTTTGAGGTTCAAGTTTCCTCCCGCCCTGCGCCCAGCAAGCCAGACGATCGTGGGCCCTTCGGTTATCGATGCCGCCCTCTCGGACACGGCCCACGAAGCAGGCCTTGAAGCAGGCGAAAGCGGCCGGCGAGCACGATGCTGAGCATGCGCAGGCTAAGGACCGAGCTTTTCGTTCGTTCTCTTGTTGTCGCCGGCGTGACGGTCGGGCGTCGGCGTCTGGTTCCTTGATTTCCTCGGAGCTTGGAGTTGCCCGTCTTGCCGGCATGGATGCGTGGCAGCCCCTTGCAACCCTCGTCGCCCCTTCCGTCTTTCGAGTTTGCGCCGAGACGGGGCGAGAGCCGCTCCATCCAATATTAGTTCCCCACATCCTAAGACTCTAAGACCTAAGACTTAGGATGTGGGGAACTAATATCGGGTTTCTTGTTTTCTCTGGACGGCCGCGGGCCGCGCCCAGACACGCACGCGCGCAAACGCGCGCGCGCGCAAACGCACGCGCACACACGAACACACACAAACACACACACACGCACACACACACACACACTCATCATGATCATCATCCTCGGGCATTCCATGCGAGCCCGCTCGCGCGGAAGAGAATGCCAACGGCCATCGGCATCGGCGAGCCCGCTCGAACGGAATGACCCGGGACATTCCATGCGAGCCCGCTCGCGCGGAAGGGGCTTCCCTTGTGGCCCCTGGGGGGCCACGCCTCCTACAAGTTGGAATTCTAACGGCTATCGGCATCAGCGAGCCCGCTCGAACGGAATGGCCCTCAGGGGCATTCCATGCGAGCCCGCTCGCGCGGAAGGGACCTCTTCTGTGGCCCCTGCAGGGGCTCGTCAGGAGAACGCCGGGCCCGTCATGAGAACGGCACGGCCCGTCATCAGAACAGGGGGGTCCGCCCCGGGAACGCCGGGGGCAGGGGGGGGCCCAGGGGGCGCGACGGCCCTGGGAGGGTGGGCACGAGAACAGCGAGGCGGAGAAGGAGGAGGAGGAGGACAGGGGGAAGACGAGCGGCGGAGGAGAAGGAGGAAGGGGAAGGCGAGGGGAAGCAGGAAGAGGAGGAGGAGGAGGAGGAGGAGGAGGCGGAGGAGCGCGCGCCTCCTCGCGTGCGGCTGCGGGCCGATGGCACGCAGCCGCCCGCGTCGTCGTCGACGTCGTATTCGTCGTCGTCGACGTCGCGGCCGGCGTCGTCGTCGTCGCGGGGGCGCGAGAATTCCCCGAGTTGTTCGGGGAGGGGCCTCGGGGACGCGATGTCCAGAACATGCTGGGGAGTCTGGAGTGGAAACTTCGTCGTTGTCGTCGTCGTCGTTAGGGTTGCGGTTAGGGTTAGGGTTAGGGGGTC